TCGAACTCACCTAAAACCTTCCATCTCTTTCCTGCTGTCACAGAAGGGCGTGTACCCGTACGGTGCTCCGGCCAAATCTAGTTCCACCAACTCCTTTAAGTCTGCCCTTACGATCTAAAAACATCAATTACCTTGAGATTAAATAAATCAATATAATTTAGTACTTGAAGCTAACTGTTAAAGGGCCTTTGAATAAAAAGAAAAAATGTTTTTCCTCTTGGTGAATTTGTTATTACCTGGTCAGCGTCAACGAAGATGATTTTCTTAACGTGGAGAGGGAAAAGCACGTCGAGGAAGAGTATCTTGTATCCCCAAATGGTGCGCTGGCGGTCGCGCTGCCGCTGCAGCCAGCGCGGCCACTGGTACTGCACCAGCTCGTACTCGAACCCGTACTCCTGCGCCATGTACGGCAATATGTCCTGACAACACAAACAAATAGTACAATTTATAACTCTGAATAATAAAAATAGAGTAAGTAACTGTTGCTCCCGTTTTCATCCGCGCAAACATAAAAATTGTAATAAACATTGTTATAATTAAATTATATAATAAAATTGTAATAAAAGATTTTTGAAATCGGCTCAGAAGTTTTTGAGTTATTTCAATACATACAAAATTTTACATATACAATATTACAATTTTTGGCAAGTTGTAGACTTTAACTTACCTTGAGTGATGGGCTGAGGTAGTTTTTGAGAAACCAGAATTTGACCGGAGACTTGGTGTGCTTCAGCACGGAGAGCATCATGATGCGCAGGAAGCGCTCGTACAGGTGCCCCGACGCCACTGAGAACACGTTGATCGTCTCCTCCGCACCCTCCGCCTCCTCCCCGCCTCCACCTCCGCCTCCGAACGAACTATTACATATTACACTATTAAGTCTTTAATAAGAAAAAGATGTATCCAAAACATGTCAGATAAATTGTTAATAAAAATAATTATAGGTATATATATGGTAGCGCCATCTGTCATTCCAATCCGCATCCAAATCATATGTTTTAGTTAAATACACTCTGTGTCTTATATTACAAAACCTACATACTCACGAGTACAGGTTCAATTTAGTCTATGTAAAAAGGCTGTATAGGATTGTGAAGTGACCTGGCGATGGAGTTCCAGATGCCGCCGGCGTTGT